AATTGTAGTAGCAGTAGTAGTAGTAGTAGTAGTAGTAGTAGCGGTGGTAGTAGTAGAAGTAGTACACATAGTAGTAGTAGTCGTAGTAGCAGTAGTCGTAGTCGTAGTAGTAGTAGTAGTAGTAGTAGTAGTAGTGGTGGTCGTAGTAGTCGTAGAAGAAGTAGTCGTCGTAGTCGTAGTTGTAGTAGTCTGAATCGCAATAGTGGTAGCAGTGGTAGTCGTAGTAGCAGTAGTAGTAGTAGCAGTAGCAGCAGTAGTCGTCGTAAGCGGTGTCGTAGTCGTAGTCAGAGTCGTAGTCGTAGTAGTCGTAGTAGTAGTAGAAGAGGAAGTTCTGGTAGTAGTAGTAGTCGTGGTAGTAGTAGTAGTAGTAGTAGTAGTAGTAGTAATCGTACTAGTCGTAGCACTAGTAGTGGTAGCAGTAGTAGTAGTAGTCGCAATAGAATTCTCAATTTTATTTATAATAAGAGTAGTAGCCGTAGCCGTAGTAGTAATATTAGTACTAGTAGTAGTGGTAGTAGTAGTAATAATACTAGAAGTAGTCGTAGTAGTAGTAGTCGTCGAAGTCGTAATAGTAGTAGTAGTAATAGTAGTAGTAGTAGTAGTAGTAGTAGTAGTAGCAGTACTGGTAGTAGTAATACTCGTAGTAGTAGTGAAATCAGTAGTAATCGTACTAGCAGCAGTAATAGTAGTAGTAGTAGTAGTAGTAGTAGTAGTAGTAGAAGTAGAAGTAGTAGTAGTAGTAGTAGTAGTAGTAGTAGTAGTAGTAGTAGTAGTAATAGTAGTAGTAGTAGGAGTAGTGGTGGTAGTACTAACCACCGTAGAAATAATCGTAGTCGTAGGCGTGTTTGTAGTAGTCTGAGTCGTAATAATAGTACTAGTAGTAGTAGTAGTAGTAGTAGTAGTAGTAGTAGTAGTAGTAGTAGTAGTAGTAGTAGTAGTCGTAGTCGTAGTAGTAGTAGTAGTAGTAATAATAATAATAGTAGTCGTAATAGTAACAGTAATAATAGTCGGAGTGGGTGTCGTAGTCGTAATCGTGGTAGTAGTAGCAGTAGTAGTAGTAGTAGTAGTAGTAGTAGTAGTGGTAGTAGTCGTAGTAGTAGTAGTCGTACGGGTCGTAAGAAGTAGTAGTCGTACGGAGTAGTAGTAGTAGTAGTAGTAGTAGTAGTAGTAGTAGTAGTAGTAGTAGTAGTAGTAGTAGTACTACTACTAGAGTAGTAGTAATAAGGATTCCTAAGGAATTCCAAAGGAAGCCGGAGGAATTCCGAAAGCACCCTAAGGAATTCCGAGGGAATCGTGAGGAACTCCGAAAGAATCGTGAGGAATTCCGAAGGAATGCCAAGGAGTCCTGAAGAATCCTGAGGAATACTGAAGATTTCGAAGGGATCCGGAGGATTTCCGAAGATTCCATCCGTGGTTGGAATTGGTCTCATTTTTGGTTGAGTTGGAATTGGTCTCATTTGTGGTTGGAATTGGTCTCTTTTCTGGTTGCAATTCACTCCGAACGGTTGGGATTGGTCCTAGTCGGTTGTAATTCGTACCACTTCGGGTTAGGACCCCCTCCCCTTCCCCCCCTTCCCCGACCCGTCGTCGGGGACCCTCCCCCCCCTCCCCTCCTTCCCCGATCCGTCGTCGGGGACCCGCCTCCCTCCCTCCCCCCCTTTCCCCGGTCCGTCGTCGGAGACCCCCCCCCTCCCTCCCTTTCGCCACGCCGCCCCCTGACTCCGGAACCCGACCCCCGCCACCCGTACCCCTAGTCCTCACCTTAAACCAAGCCCCTAATCCTAACCCCAACCAGTAACCCCAGCCCCAAAGTGTACTCACTACTCATTACTCACTACCCGCTACGGACTACTCGCTATTCGCTACTCACTTTTCAGTACCCCCTACTCACTACTCACGACTCACTACTCAATATCCACTACTCACTACCCACCACCCACTACTCGCTACTCACTACTCCCTACTCACTGCTCCCACCTCCCTACTCACTACTCACTCCGCACTACCCACTACTCAATACTCACTAAGCACTACTCCCTACTCCCTACTCACTAGTCACCAATCATTAGTCAGTACCCACTACCCACTATCCAGTAGTCACTACTCACTACAAACTACTCATTGCCCACAAATCACTACTCACTACCCACTACTCGCTACGCGCTACTCCCTACACAATACTGACTACACAGTAATCCGTGCTCACTACTCGCTACTCCCATACTCAATACCCACTCCCCGCAATTCCCTATTCACTACTCACTACTTACTACTCCCTACTCACTAGTCACTACATAGTCTCTAGTCACTAGTCACAATTCACTAGTCACTACTCACTACCCACTACTCACCAATCGCTACTCACTACCCTTTATTCGCTACCCACTTCCTACTACTCACTGCTCACTACTCCCTACTCCCTACCCGCTACTCACTACTCACTACTCGCTACTCCCTACTCGTTACTCACAAATCACTACCCACTGCTCACTACTGACTACTCTCTATTCACTACGCCCTATTCGCTCCTCACTAGTCACTACTCGCTACTCCCTACTCGCTACTCACTACACACTACCCACTGCCACTACCCACTACTCTCTATTCATCACGACTCACTACTCACTACTCACTACGCACTACGTACTACTCAGTACACACTACTCACTATTCACTACTCTCTACTCACTAATCACTACTCACTACGCACTACACACACTACTCACTACTCAGTAGTCACTACTCGCCACCCACTACTCACTACCCACTACGCACTACCCACTACTCATTGCTCCCTACTCCCTACTCAGTACTCACTACTCGCTACTCGCTACTCGCTACACACTACTCACTACTCGCCAGTCACTACTCACTTATCAATACACACTACTCACTATTCACTACTCACTACTCCCCACTCCCTACTCGCCACGCACTACCCACTACTCACTACCCAAAAATCACTACTCGCTACGCACTAACTCACTACTCACTACTCACCACTCCCTACTCCCAACTCCGTACCCCGTCCACGAGGGGGGGGGGGGTCGAACCCCCCCCCGCCTTTCCAGCGCCAAGGGGGGGAGCGGGGGGGGGGGTCCGGACCCCCCCCCCCCTTCAAGGGAGGGGGGGGGGGGATCGGGACCCCCTGCTCACTCTGGATGTGGAACTAATCGGAGTTGGCTCCCCAATGGTCGTGCTGCGCATCGGGCTTCGACTGCTGCTGCTCCATGGCCTCTCGCTGCTCCTGCTGGAGACGTTTGAACTAGTCCTGCACCAATTTCTCAAACTGATCGAGGATTATGGCGAGCTATTGAGCTCCGTAGTCTTCTTGATCTCCACATCTTTGGTTTCACCACCTCGCTGCTGATTGAGACCTGCGGAGACGCCCTGCAGAATCTGGACATCGGGGTTGCCCTTCGCATACCTGGTCTTGCTGATCTTGCCAACCTGGACGCCACACTGGAAACGCCCGCATCTCGCAAGAACTGTCTGGCACGGGTCACCGTAACTTTTCTTGCAGGCCTGCCCCTTCCTGGGCCGCAGCAAGCACTGTCTCCAACTGGCAGGCCTGAGCCGGATCGATTCGCGAAGTCGGGCCGGATCGGAAACGGATCGGATTGTCAACACATCTATCAACATCGGATCGCCGCGCCCGCCTCCGGCTGGCCCAGGCCGTAATCGAACCGAGCCGAATCGAATCGGAACCGCGGCCCAAGCGGGCGAATCGAATGGCATCGAATCGGATCGTAGGCGGCCCTGACCGGCGCACGTGCGAGGCGCCAATGCTCAGCGCTCCAGTGGCTCCCTGCGGTGCTGCTGCGTCAACTGCTGACCCTTCGACAGCTCCACGCGCTGCGGCGGCTACGATGGCGCACACGGCCTCCGACGTGAACTCGCCATCGCTCGGACGTCCCTTCCCTGTGCTTTTTTCCGGTTTCGTGCGTGGTTTTTTCGCCAAATGATCAAGGAGAATCCTCGATTGTCCTCGCCGAAGGAAAAATGCACACGTCCGAGCGATGCCAAGTGCAAGAGAGCCGGGATCCAACATCCGCAACTCCTTGCGCCGCTCGCACAACAAGCATCCGCGCCAGCTGCGCGGGCATGCCGAGCGAGGCAACCGGGCCGCTGCTCGCACGCGGCCCGCGTGCCGAGCCCCTTCAGCAGGAGGGCCCGAGCGGGTTTCAGGACGTCAGAGGCCTTGGACGATAAGCGGCCACGGGATGAGGAGGAGGAGAAGGACGAGGAGAAGGAGGATGATTTTTCCTCCTCCTCCTCTTCCTCCTCCTCCTCCTCCTCCTCCTGTGGGGATGCCAGAAGGTACTGACACCGCTACTCCCTGGACCTCTCTCGGTGTGCGTTCTGACCAGGGTTTCGAGGCAAATCCTGCGGCGGCGACGAGGGCCTCCAGGAGGCCCCTAAAGGGGTAAACGAGGGGATTGTAGCGGTCTCGGTATCTTTTCCTGTTCCTGTTCCTCCTCCTCCTTCTCCTCCTCTTCGTCCCCGTTGCTCACCATCCCCAGGTGCCCCTGACCCAATGTGCCCCCAGCTCTTTGATCCATTTTGGAGCCCGTGCCCCCCTGGACCTTGTGAGGGAAGCTCTGGAGGCCGTTGGAGCCTCCTTGGAAATCCTTGGGGCACCCTGGGCCAGGGGCACTTCTGGCAACACCCGACGGGGGCTGCGCTGTGGACACGTGCCTGCAGTGAGTGCGGCGGCGGGACCGCGCGGCTGGATTTCTTGGTACTCGGAAAGATAAAAAGGCACGCGCACAACATCTCGAGCTCCGCGCGGATCTCTTGGACCGGCGGCGGATATCCTCCTCCTCCTCCTCCTCTTCCTCCTCCTCGTTCTCCTCTCCTCCTCCTCCTCCGCCTCCTCCTCCTCCGCCTCCGCCTCCTCCTCCTCCTCCTCCTCCTTCTCCCCCTCCTCCTCCCCCTTGCTCACCATCCCCGCCCCCCCCGAGCAGACGAGGCAAGCAACCCGTGCCCCCCCTGCGCTCCAGGAGCTCCAGCCGGTCCAGGAGCGGCCGGTCCTCTGGGCGGCACCGGTCTGGGTGCTGACGCTCCAGCGCCCCCCTCCTCCTCGCGCCGTCGGATGCCTCTTTCCTGTCGGCGTGGGTCAAAGATGAAGGCGGCGCTTGTTGCGTTGTATAGGAAGGGGCCCAGAGACACACACAAATCAATACACACAAATCCCAAGATTTTCCAATCTTTTCAAACATTGATTGGATTTTCGTCTTCCCCCCCACTTCCCACATTTTCCCATTCTGGGGGATCGACGATTAATTGTGTCTGTGGTTTTTCCCTCCTGAATGAAGACTGCGCTTAGAAAAAAAAGGGCGCCGACTCGGGCGGAGTGAGCGAACATATTGTGCCGCAGACGGGTGCAGCGAATGTCGGGCACAGAGTAAAGCAAAGAGCAGTGGCCCGACAGGGCGAGAGGAACCCAGTCCGCGACAGTACCAAGCTGGGAGGATAATACCAACCAAGTACGAAATACAATAACCTGATCACGCCGTCTGATGCTTCCTCCTCCTCTTCTTGGCGGCGCGCACAAGGGGGTATGAGGGAGGGGGGAAGGCCTCTTAAGGCGCCGGCTTTACATCTATAGATAGGGCCCGCGCCCTCAGAGGACGGAAGAGCCGCATACCCGGAGATTTCTCATCCCCTTCCTCAGAGGACGAACAAGCTGTATGAGCGTAAACTGCGCTCTGGTCCGAGTGCTGATGCTCCCGCTCCTTCCCTCACGCCCAAGCCCTCCTCGCCATCGCTCGGACGTCCATTCCCTGTGTTTTTTGTTTGGCTTCGTGCGAGGTTCTTTCGCCAAATGATCAAGGATGCTCCTCGATGGTCTTCGCCGAAGGAAAATGCACACGTCCGAGCGATGCCAAGCCTCTGATGCTTTCTCCTCCTCCTCCTCCTCCTTTCTTGTTGGGGGTGGAGACGGTGGGAGCGGACACCGCACAATCCGTTGCCCCTCAAAGGGGGTATCCCCGTATCCGTCGACGAGCCGCTGCAGAGTCTCGACGACGTTGCCGCCGTCGCCCTCGTCGTCCCTCACGCGCTGAGATGCTTCCTCCTCCGAGCATCGTGCAGCCGACCCTATCCTCGCTGGCGTGGCCTGGGCCCCACTGGCCGACTTGCCCCCCTGGGGATCGGGCTGGAAATCGGGATGGGAACAGGGATCGGTGAAACGATGTTGACTCCTCTTCCTCCGAGGACGAAGAAACTGCATGAACATGAACCTTCGGAGCTCCGCGCGGACTTCTTGGATCTGCGCTGGGGCTCCCTGGCGGCGCCTCCGGCGCCGCCGCCGGCGCGCTCCACGCTCCAGGGAGGGGGGGCACAGCTCACTCTCGCTCCCGCTTCTCCTTCCCTCACGACCCGCGCCATCTCCTCCTTTCTCGTCCGCTTCTTCCTCCTGCCCCTCCTAGCCTGGGGGTTAAGATAGGCTTCACGCCCACGGCCGTCTTCCCATCGAGGAACCTCCGCGGCCTTCCTGACCTGACCTGGCCTGACCTGCTCTTCCTCCTGCTCATCCGCCACCTCCTCCTCCAATGTACGCAGTTTCCCCTTTCAGATTGCGCAGAACACTGTGGGGTCCTTTTGGGGGCTCCATGTCCACTATGAGAGTGAAAGGCGGATAGAGAAATAATCAAAGCAAGGAGGAAGGCATGGGTGGGAAGGGTTGAGATATGGAGCGAGCGCACCTAGCTTTCCTCACCCCCTCTCCATCCCGACCCTCTCCTTCCCCCAAAACTTGCCAGAGAATCGAAGAGACTCGTGGGGACGAGGGCCGAGGAGGACGCGGGGGAGAAGCAGGAGCGGGAGGGTACGGATGAGGAACACGAGGGACAACATGGAGAATGGAAGGGAGGAGGAGGCGAAGGGGGAAGGAGAAGTGGAGGAGGAAACGGACGAGGAGGAGAGAAGCGTGGCGTAGCGTGAGCTTACGGTCCATGGCGGAGGTGTCGTTGGCTGTGCAAAGGAACAGCGCGCGCGAGAGGTCGAACGGCACGTTCAGGTAGTGGTCCCTGCTTGTCCAGAGCTCTGGAGCAACGCAGAGGATTGGTCACGAGGGATCTGAGGATGATGACGAGGGAGCAAGGGGAGCACAACCAGAGGAATGCGATGGAAGAAGGCCTGAATGTACGATGGGCAGGAGGGTGAGGACGACGCGGAGGACCAGCAATCTGATGCGGATGATGATGCTGATGCTGACACTGTTGAGGACGATGTGGTGATGGGGAGTACGATCGGGATCGGGCTCGGGATCGTGGGAGTTCGTGCGCTTCTGCTGATGGCGGGGCAGGATACGTCCCTGAGGGAGAAAGATGATACATATGAGGAGGTAGGGAAGACAGAGATGGAGATGGAAATACAGAGAGAGAGAGAGAGAGAGAGAGAGAGAGAGAGAGAGAGAGAAAGAGAGATAGACAGAGAGAGAGAGAGAGAGAAAGAGAGAGAGCGAGAGAGAAAGAGATAGAACACAGGAGTGATGAAGGAAGGGGGAGGAGGGAGGGAAGGAGGAGGAATGGCGAAATACTTAGGGATGGAAGGGAGGGCAGGAGAGGGAAGGGGGAGGATGGAGGAGGTGAGGTAAGAGAGAGGATGAAGGGGAGGGAGGGAACGGGAGGGCGGGAGAGGGGCATGGGCAGGAGGGCGGAGGGAGGGAAGGAGGACGAGGAGGGGCGGATGATGATGACGATGACGATGACGATGACGATGACGATGATGACGATGACGATGACGATGACGATGACGATGACGATGATGATGATGATGATGATGATGATGATGATGATGATGATGATGATGATGATGATGATGATGATGAGGATGATGATGATGATCATTATGATGATGACGAGGAAGAGGAAGAACAAGGCGGGCCTGAACGCGCAATTCTGCTCTGGATCTAGCACCTCGAGGAGCACCGGCTCCGCGTTGAAGGGGCCGCCCCTTGCCAGCTTGTCCACCTCCCCAGCGGGCGTCGGGGACCTCCCCCTTCCCCGCGTACCTTCGGTAAAGGCTAAACGACTCCTGTCCTTCGACTCGCGCTGGAGCGGCCCCGAGTTGCTCCAATTTTCTCTGGAGATCTCTGGATTTACCAGGATTTATTTTGATTTACCTGGATTTACCTCTATTTATCTGCAATTACCTGGATGTCTCTGGCTCGATCCCCAGATGTCGATTGGCGAAAAGTCGACAAGCTCTTAGGGATACCTTCCCCTTCGATGGGGAACTCGTGGGAGCTCCTCATGCCATCTTGCTGGCCCTTGCGAATTGACGCTATCTGACGCCACATCGACGCTAAAGCGACGTTGATCGACGCTAACTCGGCGCTTCCTCATCCATTGCCGGACGCTAATCGACGCTAGTGCACTCTGAAGACGGAATTTCGAGGGTGTACGAGGCTCCCATGATTTGCTACCAAACCCACCCTTCCGCTCCCTTCGTCTCTGGCCCTTCCCCCTGATGGATGGGGAGTGCGAGAGGGAAGGGAATGCGAGCAAGGAGCGCTGAGGATGGGGGGAAGCGGAGTGAAGGAGTGGGGGCGGACAAGGCCAGGGTGGAGGCGGAAGCAGATTAGGCGGCGGCGGAGGAGTAGCAGGATCATAAGAGAGAGAGAGAGAGAGAGAAGGAGAGGGAGAGCGAAAGAAAGTGGGGAAAAAGAAGAACAAAAACAAACAAGGAAGGACGATCTGGAACCGGAAACGCACACCACGGGAGAAGGGATGGGTGGCACAGGGGGCCGGGAACGAGCAACAGGACAGATACTGCAACGCTGAAGACCTTCGGCTCCAAGTTCCCCTCAAGACGTCCCTAAAACCATTTGATCACACTGGGGAGCGCTCCTGGAAAGACGCAAGCCCCATGGACCTGCAATGCATGCGAAAGAGAAGCTTTCAAAAGAAGCCGCCATCCATCCTCGCAGTTATCGCCGTACCTTGTAGGATCGAAACAGATGACAAACGAGAGCCTTGGCATGATGAGGAGCCACCTTCCATCCATGAATATGTTTCACAAACTGAGACTTCATTATCTGATCCTCCTTACTTTTCTCCTTTTGCCTCTTCCCTCCTGGTTTATTTTTCCACTCCTTCGTTTGTTCTCGGCCACTCCGTGAATCCTCTGAATGCTTCCAGCTGCGCCAATGTCGACGCTTTCGACGATTTTTTGGCGAAGTTCAGCAGGGTGGCGTGCTACGGGGGACCAGACAAAACTTTGCGCCCTCTTTGTGCTGCCAGCTGAACAGCTGTCACCATTTTCGTGAACTCCAGGGTGGCCCGGTGGGGTGACGTTTTACGGGGGCCAATGCGGGGCCTCGTGGACCCAAGGCGCTCTCATTGCGCAACATCATTTTTTCCGCGAGCTCGTGGGTGGCCCAACGGAGTGATGTTCTCCAGGGGGCCATACGAGACTTTGCCCTCGCTGGGCACAGCCTCGCCGGGCACAGCCTTCGCGAGCTCTTGGGAGGTCCTGCGGGTTGACATCCTACGAGGGCCCAAACCAAACCTCGGCTTCCCTGGGTGTTCCCAATTTCGTGAACTCCTGGGGGGGGGGTCCACTGGCGTGACGCCCACTGGGGGCCCAAACGAAGCTTCGCTGACTCCAGATGGTGCCGAATGCCGAACGTCGCCGATCTCGTGAACCCCTGGGTGACCTAGCAGAGTGATGTTGTCTATCTGCGCAAGTGTCGCCACACTCGCGAGCTCCTAAGAGGTCCACCAGGTGGGCGCTCCCTGGGGGCCCAAACAGGACCTCGCTGCACAACCGTCGCCATTTTCGTGGGATCCTGGGCGGCTAGGCAGAATGACCTCTTCCAGGGAGCTGCTACAGTGGAGGCCCGTCCACAAGAAACCTGCCACAAGAAACCCAACCCTGAGACCCCAGGACGTCCACTGATTCTTTGGTCAGGGAACGCCGCGCTTAACCATCGCAAACCATCAGAACCCAAGAAACCCAGGGCACCCTGGAGGCGAGCTGGGTGTTTCGTGGCATGGGTCTCCACTGTATGCGCAACCTCGGGGACAGAGTGCTGCCAACCGTGCAGCTGCCACTTCGGTCGCGAGCGGACGGACGATCCACGGGGTCCCAGTCGAGACCTCCACCTGGCTGGGCGCTGCTGGCTGCATCACCGTCGCCACTCTCACAGACTCCCGGACGGCCCCACGGAGTGACGTCCTACACGAGCCCGAGGCAGAGGAAGAAAACACAACATAGACATCAACTTTTAGAGGCCCGCGCGGGTTTCTTGAATCTGGCCTGGACCCCCCTCCCTGGCGCGAGAAGTGCGCCAGGGGCGGCGCCGGGGGGGGGGGCCAGCACGGATCCCAGAGATCCGTGCGGAGCGCCAAAAGCCTATGTTCAAGGCGCTCTTGCTGCTTCGACGAGTGTGACCTCGCTCGCAATCGGTGCTGCCAACTGCACAGCGTCGCCCGTTTTCGCCGCGAGCTCCTGGCAGGTCCAGCGGAGGGGCGCCTGCCTGAGGAGGAGGATGATGAGGAGGAGGAGGCGGAGGAGGAGGAGGCGGCGGAGGAGGACGAGGAGGAGGACGACGTCCTCGTCCTCGTCCTCGTCCTCCTTCTCGTCCTCCTCCTGTGGCGTCCTTCGCAGAAATCCAAAAAGGAGGCCTCGCCTGCCGTGGGTGCTGCCTGGCCGGGTGGCGGCCGCCAGGGCGTGGACAGCCTTCTTTGGCTGCACCTGCGCGTCATACTGCCCGAGGCTACAGCAGGCGCTCGACCACAAGAAACCTGCCACAAGAAGCCCAACCCCTGAGACCCCAGGACGTCCACTGATTCTTTGGTCAGGGAGCGCCGCGCTTCCCATAGCAAAACCATTGGAACCCAAGAAACCCAGGGCACCCTGGAGGCGAGCTGGGTGTTTCTTGGCATGGGTCTCCACTGTACGACTTCGAAGAATGTGCTCGTGCTTCGCAGTCCAGGCCTGGATGTTCTCGCCTGAGGCCAGCGGCGACCGGGCGGTCGCCCAAAAAGGAGCCCAACGAACTGGCCAATGGTCTAACCTCGGAGCAAGTCTCGCAAGGCCGGGTTGCCAGGAAAGCTTCATCATCATCATCATATCCACTTCCACCTCTCCTTCCCTTTCGGGCTCTTTGTATTCCCCTGATCCTTATCTTTGTCATGGCTCATATTCTCCCCCCCTGCTCTGATGACCCGTTTTTTTTGTTCGTTCTCTTCCCTGTCTTTCCCATGGGGCGTGCAATGCGTAGGCCTCCCAATGTATCTTTCGGGAGGGATCGCGTGCCGTCATTTCATCATTGGTTTAGGATGGGCGGGATAATGACCTCACGTGCAGCAAATGGGTTGGGCACGTGCCAGGGTAATGATACCTTTCTGCGAGCAGCCCAACACAGATGCGTCGCTGGAGAAATGGAGCCACGCTCTGTTGCATGGCGGTGCGAATGTCTCCGCCGTCGGAGGAGCAGCACTAAATGGGAATCCTAAAGATGCAACGCCGATCCTAGTTGAAATGCTTGGGTTTAAGATCACTCTGTACGTGTCTCCGGTCGGCGTTGGGGAGTGCCACGTGCAACCTGCCCGAACCAACGTATACAGAGCGTCAAAAAAGGCACAGACATAAACTTTCTTGCAAGTCCGCGCGGATTCCTCGGACAGGCGCTGGACCCCCCTGGCGCCGCCAGGGGGGTCCAGCGCCGATCCTAGAACGCCGCGCGGAGCCCGAAACGTTATGCGTGTGCCGTTTTGTCCTTCCGAGCATACCAAGAAATCCAGCCGCGCGGCCATGCCACCGCACTCACTGCAGGCACGTGGCCACCGCGCAGCCCCCGTCGGGGGTTGCCAGAAGTGCCCCTGGCCCAGAGCGTCCCTAGGATCCCGGGGAGGCCCAAATGGCCTCCCGAACACCCCTCACGAAGGCACAGAACGACCCGGGGCAGGATCGGTCAGCATCACATCGAAACACCGGATCGAATCGAAGTGTGCGTCGGATCGGGCTGAGTTGGCACGAAGCCGACACCGAATCGCATCGGCTGCTCCGAGATGCACAGCAGCGCCAGGCAAACGTCGGCCCGCATCGGACCGCCGGAACAGCGGAATCGAACCGGATCGGGCCAGCCAGAATCGACCTCGACTCGGATCGATCGGATCAAAGTGTACCTGGCCTGGGGGCTTCGAAGTGGATCGAACGGCTGGGGGCACCCTGGCCCAAGGACACCTCCAGCAACCCCTACGGTAGGTTCGTGCGGTGCCGGCGCGCGCCAAGGTTTTTGACTCCGCGTCGATGGTTCAATCTTGATTCGATCGCGGCCCCGACCGTTGGGGCCTGACCTCCGTCGGGTCCTGGGGCGGCACCGTGCCCCTCCGTGCTTCCACGTCGCTCTATCACGCGGAGTTCAACCTGGAACGCCTTCGCCAGCGTCGCCGGCGCGCCATCGCCGCATGAGCCTACCACATTTTCCGCGGACCTGCGGCACCTCCTGCGGAGCGGCCCCGCGCCCGCGGCCGCCTCTTCTCCAGCGGCGCGCCGCGGGGAGGTGGGCGCGCGAGGGGGCAGGCCTCCCCAGAGGGCGCGGCGGGGCTCCTCGGAAGCCCGCGGGCCCCGCTTCCCGGGATGCCCGTCTCCCATCTTCCCCGATTTTCCCGGGCACCGACGACGCTTTGTGTCTGTTTGTTTTGTTGCCCCCCCCCTCCTGACCCTGGCCTCCTTCTCCTTTCCTTCTCCTCCTTTTGTTTGTCCTCCTCCTCGCACCTCCTCCTCCTCCTCCTCCGCCTCCTCCTCCCCCTCCTCCTCCTCCTCCTCCTCCTCCTCCTCCTCCTCCTCCTCCTCAGAAGCCCGCTGGCCTTCTCGAGGGCCCCCCCTGCGGCCTGCGGGAACGGGCCCCGAGAGCTCCTCGGCAGGCGGGAGGCCTCCTCTGAGCCCTCTGGGAAGGCCCGCCGCGCCCCCCTGGGAGGAGGAGGAGGAGGAGGAGGAGGAGGAGGAGGAGGAGGAGGAG